AAAAAATAAAATAAAATAAAATAAAAAGAGTAAAACAAAGGAGGGAGGTGAGAGAGAGAATGGAACTGAACCTAGGGCATTTGCACTGAGCTTTAGTCTTTATTTTGAGACAGGATCTCACTAAATTACTTGGGCTAGGTTGGACTTCCCAATCCTACCTCAGCCTCCTAGAGTGCCAAGATTGTGGACATGTATCCCCAGGTTAATTTCATATTTTTAAAAAAGAATTTGAAATAATAACTTTAGTAACCATTAATCAGGTTGTAAATAGTTGATAAAATACTAATTAAATATTTGTATTGCCTGAAACACTGAAAAAATCACTCAAAACCATTGTAATTTTTGCCTTGTGTACCAACTATACTATCAAACTTTTACTTTCCTTAAATAATTTCTTTTATTAAAAAACTTAGTGGGCCGGGGAGATGGCTCAGTGGAATAAGTGCTTCCCTGGTAAGCCCAAGGGCCTGAGTTCAATCCCTGGTTCTGCCAAACAAACAAACAAACAAACAAACAAACTTGTATCAGGGCCAGAGAGATAACACAGTAGAATAAGCGCTTGCCTAGCAAGCACAGGGTCCTGAGTTCAATCCCCAGTAACGCCAAAAACAAACAAACAAAAAAACCTCTTGTATCAAACAATACCATATGTGAAATTATGAGTTTTATGTGTTTATGTTGTTCCTAATATAGATTATTTATTATTTATTAATGCATAGTAAAATAAGCAGGTGCTATTTAGTATGTAAATAAAATAACTGTTGTACTCATATTACTTAAAATTATCTCATATAACACTAGTAGGCTCACATTATGGGAAACTTTACTGTAGTATTTTATTGGTTTAACTTACTTTAACTGTAGTTCAGTCTACCCTCAAAGGCTTCAGTGCCCCAGTACTAAATCTTATTCTTCAGAGGTACAGATCATCACAGTTAATTATGACTGGCAGTTGGGCAGTTTGAATTTATCTTCTGGATATTTTTCCCAGCAACTTGTAATGAGTTTTTATTGATTCATCAGTAGCCATCTCTAGTTGGTTATTCTCTCCCCCAAGATAGAAAATTGCTTGTAGTAAAGAGCTATATTGGCCAGCCAAATAGCTCAGCAGATTAAAGCACCTGCTTAGGTAGAGCGCAGTAGCGGGGGTTTGCTCCCCAGCATGCCTTGCTTGCTCCACCCGTGGGTGTGCTGAGACAGCAATTGAGACTGGGTTAGTGACCACGCCTGTAATCCCAACTCTTGGGAGGCTGAAAACAGACAGGTAACTACAAGTTTGATCTATTTGGTGAGACCCTATAGACCCTGTACTAAATACCAAAAAAAAAAAAGAAAGAAAAACAGCTATATCTTTGTGTCTTCTATAGTAATACTGTCCAATAGGAGTATAATTCAAGCCACATATGTAATCTTAAATTTTCTAGTGTCCTTATTAGACAGAATAAAAGGGAACATAGCTTATTCAACTCAGAGCTAGAATATTTTCTTAACATGTAATCAATATTAAAAATTGACACATTTTACATTCTTATATTTGTATTAAAAAACTTTGCTATCTAGTGTATATTTTACCTTTACAGCACATCTCACCTTGGACACTTAAGTTTTCATTGGAGTTGATATATATTTAGATTTCTTTACATTTTCATTTGAAAAGTGTACATTCCTATATAGTAATATATTGTTTCCAATATTCTACTAAAATCAAAATAAGTCATTGCATTTTCAATTTTTTATTTTTTTTTATTTTAGGGAAGGGTCTACAGGGTGTTCAGGGTCTCGCTGTGAGATCAAACTTGTAGTGATCTGCCTGTTTACAGCCTCCCAAGAACTGGTATCACAGGCCTGCGCCACCATGCGCGGTCTCAATTGCCATCTCAGGGCGCCCCAGGGACGAGGCCTGCATGGCAGGCCCAGAGATCCAACCCTGGCCCCTGCCCCTGCTTGCAAGCACTTAAATCTGCTGAGCTATTTGGCCAGCCCTTACATTTTCAAATTTTGAACAGACTTTTGATGTTATAGGGAAGTTCTTACATTGTACAGGTAGTTGTCTTGTGCTAAATTGAACATCTGTCACTTTTGTAAAATGTAGCATCTAGCTTTTCTCTATAATTAAAAAAAAGTAGCTAAATTAACAATTTATTTTACTACTTCTTCATCTAAAACAGTTTTCTTTTGTAAAAAAAAATCTAAACAATCTTTTTTTGGTATGGAGGATCGAACTCGGGGCTTAACAGGCAGGCGCTTATGCCACTGAGCTATATTCCTGGACCTAAACCATCTTATACCTAGCCAATGTCGTAAGTTTGGATCTGTTTGTTAAAATTATTTCAGAATGTTTGTTGATCATTTTACTTTTTTGACAGTTGAGAAGAAACTTCATATAAGACTCACCATATATTTACTGAAAACTTTTCTTACCACTGCCCACTCTGATGATGTAAAAACTTTTTCACTGCAAACATTCCCTTTGCTCTGCTACAGCAATTCCTATTGCCGTTCACTGTGAAATTTACAACATGCCTCTCTATTCCAGTCTCCTATTTTCTTTCAACAAGAAATATTTAAATGAGCAAATTAGAATCAGTGTGGAGAGAAAAATAATTAGAACTGGATCAGACCATTGTCACCAGGCAGATCAATGATGGGTGAGAACAATAGAAAACACCCGCCAGAGTGTGCTCTTCTTATGCACTGCAGCTGGTAAAGTGAAACAGTTCTGCCAAAACACAAAGGTTGCTTAATGGGTAGGAACTACTTTCTATTGCTTCTGTTTTCAAATTTAGATTTAAATTAGTTCAGATGTGACAAAATTTAAAAGTCAGTTCTTTGATTCCATTAGCCACATTCATTAGCTGTATATCATTTTTCAAAATTCAATTCCTAGCTACAAATTGAGTGGGTTGAATATAAATTTTTACAAATAAAATGATGAGGCCAGGGAGATGGCTCAGTTAGAATAAGCACTTCCCTGGCAAGCACAAGGGCCTGAGTCCAATCCCCGGTTCTGTCAAAAAAAGAAAAGAAAACCACTCTGTACAATACCTAGTGTATTGTCTTTCACATAATGAAGAAAAATATTAACTAACTTGAATTTTGATCAGTGTTGCATATTTGTGATATGACAGTTTAAGATGATGAGTATTTAAAATGTTATCGGCTTAAGTTTTCTCCATGCAGAGCCAGAAGCAGAAGTGAGCTCTTAATAGCGAAAGCTAGAGATGTAGATTGCCACCATATTATGCCACACTAGTAATCTTGGACTATTCTCTGAAGGATGAGCTATTAAAGGATTTTAAGTTAAGAAGTTATGTACAAAATCGTCCTGTCAGGAAAGAACATTAACTTTAAATTACACCCATGATACATTCTATATATACTTCTAATTACCCACGAATCAAGACCGTCATTCAGTGTGAACCATAAAGTGTGATACAAGCCCATTTTCACCAACACCTAACATCCTTTTGTCTTTCTCACCATGTGTGCAGTTCACACCCCCGCTGACCCCATGGTTGGGCTCTCAAATGGCGTCCTCAGGGCCTGACTTTCCCCATATCCAGCCTACAATATAATCTTCTCTGGTCTTTGAAAGAGCTCCTGAAGTCATCGCTTCCTGAGTCTGTCAGAATATTGGCCTCTAAATTCCAGTTCCCTGTCTGAGCAAAAAAAGCCATCAGTATTTGTGTACCATGGTCTCACCATAATTCAGTTACTGTCCACACGGTGCCCTTATGTTTTGAACCGTTGTGACCAGTGTAAACATTGCTCGCCTTTTGTGTATTGGTATCTGTTTAATGGTACTGGTTGTTCTTTTTGCCTTATAGATAACAAGATGACAGGAGTTGAACATGTTGCTTACTTGGGGCAAATGAACACATTTATTCACTCTTTTGTTCGTATTTCCTGCTCCCATTCCTCTCCCTGCTGCCATTTTCCAAATGCCTTTACTGTATCTCTATCTCTGTGCTTTTATATTTAATTTTGTATGTTTCTGTTTATCTAATGACATACTCTTCATAAAATAACCTATATTACATACATTTTTCATATATAATAATTTATAATCTGTATTATATATAGTATCTTGAACACTTTTACAGAATACTATGTGGATTTTTTAACTTTCTACTTTGGCATGTTACAATAATATACAAGCTACAGTAGTACACCTGCCCCATAACCCTGTGTTGGCAAGTATTGTTGAGCTCCAGTCTTGTTTCCTCTTTGCTCCACCCACATCTCTATTTATATATATATATATATATTTTTTTTTAATGTTTTGCTGCTCTTTGTTTATTGATAGGCTTATTGACCTATCTAATTTTCTTTTTTTTCGCATAATTTTATCGATAAGCAAATAGTAATGAGACAGTTTCAAATCAAATTGGTAGGACAGTTTCAATAATTCACACATTGCATACATTTTTCCTAGTGGTTAATTGCTATACAAGATGCGGGCATGATATCCTATTTACAAACACCATTAGAACAAATCGCTCTATTCATTAGGAGAATGTAACTATATACCTATCCTATCCATTTATATTTTAAATAATGTCCCAGAAGACACACCATTTCCTCCCAAAATATTTCATTATGAGTAATATAAAGACTCTGTAAATATAAATACAGTGCCCCGCCTGGGGTTGTGGCACGCTCATGGGAAACAGCCAGCATGTCGGGGCAGCCCAGGGCCTCCTTGTCGCCGTCCACGCGGGACCAGGCAGTCCCCAGTGTGGTGACACGGGTCTCGCAGTGGGCAGTGGATCACTTGTGCCTCGTCCAGAACATCAGCACTAGGATGGCCATTGCTGGAATAATGTTATTTCTAAGACATGTTCAACTGACATCAAAATTTACAAAATCTTCAGATATTCCAGCAGAATTTAAAAGAAAGAAGGTTAAATTACGTGGACAATTATATCAGATAACTGAGAATGGTGTAGAAATTGAACATATTCCCATTACTTTACCTATTATATCTTCATGGAGAAAGGAGCCATGTGATGTTTTGCTGGTTAAGCTGGCTGGAGTAGAACTCACCAAAGGCGGGAAAGCATGGTTACAAAAAGAGCTAAAAGCTTCCTAGCTGCTATGGTTCCAACTTCTTGGAAAGGATAATTCAATACTCTGTTGCTACCTTTTGGTGAATAAAGGTGGATATTTTCATGTGAATTTGAATGAAGAAATTTTGCTAAGAGGCCTGGGTAAAACTGTTCTTGTTAAAGGGCTGAATCATGATTCCAGAACTTACTGGACAGTTCACAGAAAATTGCTTAAAGCTGAATTAGCAGCTACAAAAAAAGGAGAAGGAATGTGGAAGGAAGAATCTGAAAAAGAAAGTCATTTGGAAAAATTCAAAGAAATGTGGAAAAGAGAAAATTTAAAAGCAACTGGATCAGATTTCAACTTGAAAAAAGGAAGTTATGACAAATTTAGAAGAACTTATGAATCTTGGAAAGACAGCTTGAGTAACTACTCCTTAGTACTGAAATTCAGAGAATTTATGAGTCACTTGCATTTTTGTAGGAAAGGGTGATATATCCCAGAGGTCTAGAGGTTACTCCTTGGAAGAGTAGAATAGGTAAATACGGACGTTTTTCACCGAGTCCATGTGGAAGTTTCCATAAATGATCAAAGTTGAATTTTAATGGTATTTAAGCATACAGCAGATTATGATTAATGTAATATCAGAATTAATTTAAAGGTTAATGCAACATGGTTTTAGGAACAATGAAATACTATTAAAAAATTCCCAGAACTGGCCTTGGTGGCACATGCCTTTAATCCAAGCACTCTGGGGCTGAGGCAGGAGCAGCAAAGTGAGATCCCGGCCCAAGCAACCTAGAGACTTGTGAGTCTCTGTCTCCAGGTTTAACAAGTGGACTAGCACGCAGCTCAGGGTGAAGGCCCTGGGTTCAGTCCTCGGGGCTGCCTTGGCCTGCTCCTCTGCAGACTGTATTTATTTAGTACCACTGTTTGAAGAGAAAATCCACATGTTTACCATTGTTACATAATTTGAGCAGCTGTGTTTATTTTCTATTTAAAGAGACTATTTCTTTAACTTTCCAATTTTATCAGCTTTCATTACTTATAATAAAGGAGTTATTTATACCTACACATATATAGTGCCATTATCTTACCTAACAACTTCTCTAACAATAACTTACTGATACCAAATCAGCTTTTGAGCTTCCTGTTGTCTCCTAAAATTCTCAACTTTGAATTGGGATCCAGACTAGCTCCATGCACTGTGCTTGGCTCAAATGCTTTGTAGTCTGTGGACTTCTTTTCCATTCATTCATTTTTCATTGTAATTTATTTATTAAGGAAGCAGCTCTTCTATCCCCAAGGTCTGGATTTTGTGGATTATCTCTAAACATAGTTTGACAAATTCTTCTGTTGTTTGTGTTTAATATATATTGTTAGCCAAATCTGTGTTTTGACTCGGGTTTTCTTTTTGTGTTTGTTTTTTGTTTATAAGACTGCTTCATCCATGAGAATACCTTTGCCTGTCAGGAGGAATATGGTAACTGGGAAGCTCTCATTTGGTGATGCTGTTACTGTGTCAAGATACACCTCTGTTGCTGTGTACACCTTTGTGCACAAGGCATTAATCTGTCATTTTAGGTATCTCTCCCATTGTATACCAACAATGAATTACAATTCCAAAACTGCCTCTGGTGTGACACCTCTTACACATCACCAAGAATCCAGGCATTTCCTAGGGAAATCGACCCTGCAACCGGATCGCTAGGTCATAATATTGCCTAAGTTTAATTTGCCAGCCATTGCCAGATTGAACTTGACATTTTGTATCTTTCCAAGTCTAATGGGTATAAACTAATACGTCTTTATTTAATTTGCATTTTGTGATTATTAATTGGTTTTAGATTCTCATTATTGATCAGCCTTGCAGGTTTCATCAACTGTAAAATTCTTATTCATAGTTTCTGCTGATTTCTTAATGATAGTTTCTTTTTCTTAATGATTTACATATTTTAGATATAAATACCTTGTTGGGTTTTTTTTAATCTACATATCTGATACAGGGTCTCACTATGCAGCTCAGACTCATAGTGATCCTCCAGTTTTCAGCCTCCCTAGCACTGGAATTAAAGGCGTGTGCCACCACGCACGGACTTGGTTCCTGGCTCAGTGGCCCCAGGGCTGGGGCTGGCACAGCATGTGGTGCTTGCGATTGAACCCCAGTCTCTGCGCCTGCCTAAGCATGTGCTTAGTCCACTGAGCTGTCTCGCTGGCCCCCTATCTTCTTGATTTTTTTTTTCCGGAACTGGGGATTGAACTCAGATCCTTGCATTTGTCAGTCAAGCGCTTATCCTACTGAGCCATCTCCCCAGCCCTATCTTCTCGATTTTTAAAACATCAAATATCTACTCCCATCTACCATCTGCCTAATAAATATTTCTACAGATTCCTTAATTGTCAACTTTTTGCTTTTATTTTTCACATTTAGGTTTTCACTCCACCTAGAGTACACCTTAATATATGATGTTAATTAGTGATGTAGGAGTGTTTTTCCCCATAAAATTCAGTAGCACCATTTATTAGCACTTTAATTTGCAGTGTCATCTTCCTTATGTATTGAATTTCTGTGTCTTACCTCTCTGTTCTTCTCCATTGGTTTGTTATTGTTGTTGTTGTTGTTGACAACCCAATTCTGTACTTTTTTTTTTTGTCATTCTGGCCATGCTATTTGTCTTAATATCTGGTAGGAAAAGGACTTTCTCCATCTTTTTTAAAGGATAAATTTTTAATGACTTTCATTCTTCCACTTAAAATTTGGAGTACATTTCTTGCATTTCTAGGAAAAACACAATTGGGTTATAACTGTGGTTGCATTGAATTTATAGATTAATTTGGGGTGAATTGTTAGCATAGACTTCTCTGCATGTTGGACCACCTCTGTTCACTTAAATGAAAGGTTGCTTTGTTTTTTCCATAGAAGTCTAATCCCTTCCAAATATATTCCTAGATGCTTTTAGTTTTTTAAAGCTATTTTGAATGACATCTGATTTTCATTATATTTTAATTAAACTTAATAGGATGAACATATATTTATATACAGTGTAAGAAATAATATAAATATGGCCAGCCAGATAACTCAGCAGACTAAAGCGCCTGTTTAGGCAGAGCGCAGCCTAGGGTTCAATCCCCAGCGTGCTGTGCTGGCTCCACCCCCAGGTGCTCTGAGACAGCGATTGAGACTGGGCGTGGTGGTGCGTGCCTGTAATCCCAGCACTTGGGAGGCTGCAGACAGGAGAATCACTAGGAATCTGTTCTATGTAGTGAGACCCTGTAGATCCTGCACTAAATACAAAAGAAAGAATATAAATAAGTAACATAAACTCTTTGTTTCCCCCAGTGATGGCGTCCTGCAGAAGGAGGTAGTCACACCCATAATATTAACACTGATATAGTCATGATCTCCACAAGGATCCTTTGGGTGCCTGGGTCACGCACATCTCACCTCCCTGCTGTACCCCTTAATTCCTGGCAGACATTCATCTGTTCTCTGCTGCTATAATTTTGCTATTTCAAAATTACATAAGTGGTACCATATAGTATTACAACTTTAGCTTTATTTTTGATCAGTATAATTCTCTGGAGAGTTCTCTAGGCTTTTGGGTATATCACTAGTTCATTCCTTTTTATTGCTGAGTAGTATTCCATGGTACATATGTGCCACCATTTATTTAGCTGTTCATTTATTGAATGGTATCTGGGTTGCTTCTAGTTTATCTGGGTTGCTTTGGGTTTGGGGCTATTACAGATACACATTTCCATACAGGTTTTTGTGTGAATATGTCTTTCATTTATCTGAGATAAATGTCCAAGAGTGCAATTTCTAGATTATATGGTGGAAGCATAAATATTTGTTTTTAACTGCCATTTTTTTAAATTTAGTACAGGATCTAAATATTTCTTTTTAAGGTGGCAATATCACTTTTTCATTAATATGAGCAGTGTCTGAATTATCCACTGACTGCTTATCCTTGTCAGACTTTGGTGTTATCACTGTATTTTTATTTTAGCCATTGCGATAGTTGTGTAGAGACACAATTTCTGTAAACAGCAGTTAGCAATGTCTGTTAAAGTAACAAATATGCATACTTTTTGGCATGACAGTTGCACATCTAGGAATCAATCATACAAGTGTGCTAACATAGATATGAAATGGTTTTATAAGGACAAAGAATAAAAGTATATATATACACACACATACACTATGCATGTTTTAATGAATTTATGATCCATCAACATAGTGAGGTACTGTACAGTTGTAAGAAAGAATAAAGAAGTTCTTCATACAATGACTATGGAAGGAGCCATGTCATTAAGTTAAAGGAGCATTGTCAAGGAGCCAGGCAAATAGCTCAGTGGCAGCGTCTTGACCAACATGAACAGCAAAGTCCCAGACTTAATCCCCAGAAGTACCAAAGAAATGAAAAGAAAAAGGTTTAGCAGGTGATTATAATATGACAATATGCCATCACTTGTGTTAAAAGGTTGAAGGAAAAATTGTGTTTGTATGAGGTATGACTGAAAAATTTGGTGTGTGTTTTAATTTTTAAAATTTATTATACTAAACGACATTGCAATTAATCTCCCTGAAAATATTCACGCTTGCTTTGAGCACACTTATACTGTAGTTCCTGCCACTTTTGAAGTCTTCTTTTTTGAGTGTGTTTAGCTGTATTATTGTGGCTGCCTCAGTGTCTGAATCGGTTTGAAACACCTTTCATGATCATTTTGACTTTGGGAAGAGCCAGACATTGCAAGATACCAGATCTGGCAAAGAAGTTGGATGTGAATGTGTCGTGGCGTTTTCATGAGGCTCCCTTTCTGGTGGATGGCGCTCAGCAGCAGCATTTACCATAGATTTTTTAACCATACCTCACAAAGGCATGAAAGGGGACTTCCAGAACTGCTTCAGAAAGTAGCAAGAATGATGGGATAAGTGTGTTGAAGCAGAGAGGAGTATTTTGAGGGGGATTGATAGCAGTGTGCCTTTAACTATAACACATCTTTAAAATGTTACCGTTCGCTGTAGTTTTTGATCACCCGTTGTATATGCGCATTGGCTTATGTAGTAATGTTATTTTGGGAGGCAATAGCATTGGTAATTGTGGGGTGAGGTAAGCAGAAGTAAAAGAGACCTGTCCCATGAATTTTTGGTAATTTTTCAATCTGTGCAAATTAAACTGCCTATAAAAATATTTATTAATAAAACCTTTAATAAGAAAACAGGGCTAACCAGATTGCTCAGCAGACTAAAGCGCCTGCTTATGCAGGTGCAGAGAGCGGGGTTTGATTGCCGGCATGCTGAGCTGGCCCCACCCCTGGGGCATGGTGAGATGGCAGTTGAGACTGGGCGTAGTGGCATGTGCCTGTAATCCTAGCGTTTGGGAGGCTGAAAACAGGAGGATCACTACAAGTCCAATCTGTGTAGTGAGACTCTGTAGTCCCTATACTAAATACATAAATATAAACCTGAAAGCTACTAAGAAATAAAAACTAATAAACTATATAAGTTTCTGGTTAATCTTTGATTTCCTTATCCATAAGAGAATTAGTAAATTATCCTTTCAGATAAGTTATTTTAAACTGAACTTAATGACTACTCACTCTGTGAAGTAATAGTAATAATTAAGTAAACAGGATATGATACAGTAAACATTGAGAATTTTAATCAGTATTAAGGAAAAAGTTATTTCTTATATAAATACAATTTTAAGGAACTTGTCTATATTGAATTTGAATATATGCGAACTTCACTATGTTAAACTGAAAAATTTTTGTTTCTGATTGTGTTTCTAGTTTTATTTTTCATGAGTAACAGTTTAAATTCTAGATTGTTAATTTGTAATGATGTTTTCTCTTCCCTTTTACAGCAATTTAAGATTTTTGATGATTGCTTTAGCCTATGCTATACCACTTGGTGTATTTGCTGGCTGGTCGGGAGTACTGGACTTAATTTTAACACCAGTGCATGTCAGTCAAGTAAGTATTTTATTTATTTGTTATAGGTATTTTGGCTTATTTCATTTATAAATACTGCTTACATGTTCTTAATTTAGCTTTAAAGACTGTGGAACAGTATCCTAAATTATTGTGGCAAAAGCAAGGTTCTTATGGAATAGTTAAAAACCTGGTGACAGAGCTGGGCCTGGAATCCCAAAACTAGAGAGATTGAGGTCGGAGGATCACCATGAACTCAAGGTCAGCCTGGGCTACATAATGAGTCCAAAGTCAACCTGAAGTACATTAAAATCATAAAACTTGATAAAAGCAATGATTTACATTTCTTTTGGGACTACTAATGATGCTGATAAATAGATGATGAATGAATATTAGTTTTGTTGACTGTATCATTTATTTTTATAAAGAAGCTTGACACCATCATCGACTACATTATCCTAGCTATATTTTATTTTATTTTTTCTCGTCTCAGGGAAAGGATATCTCATAGCTAGGCATGGTAGTGCATAATCCCAGCACTCCGGAGGCTGAGGCAGGAGGATCATTGCAAGTCCAAGGACAGCCTGGGCTACATAGTGATCTGAAGGCCATCCTGAACTATACAGTGAGACCCTGTCTTTAAAAAAAAAAAAAAAGGCAGGGGGTATCTTGTTTCTTTAAAAACCATTTCACCATGCTTGAAACCATCTATTCCTTGTCTTTGCTTCCATATAGCATGGTAGAAAGGATGGAGAAATATTTAGCAGGGTAAGTAGGTGAAATCACTGTACTGCTCTGATAGAATATTCCGTTTTATGAATATATGGTTTTTCCATTCTATTTCTGATGAGCTATGGATTCTTTTGGCAGACTCAAGTAGTGGTGTGCGTTCGAACACTCCTACTTGTGTCTTATGCCTCCCTTAAACGTCTGTATTGGGTATATATATATCTAGAAATGGAATTGCTGGTTACTAGTGTCTTCCTGCTTTGACAGATGAGGCCAGGCTTGTCCAAAGCAGTTGCATTCATGTACAAATCTACCAGCAGAACATGAAATTTCTCAGTGTTCCACATCATGACCAGTACTTGGTCATGTGATATTGTTATTTTTTTCATTTTACACATTTATGGCTATGCATTTGTGTGTGGTCATGGTGTTGTAAGTCCCTAAATATGTCTTACTGATACATAAACAAGAGAGCTGTGGAAAACAAAGATGTCCAGGAGGTTGTATAGGGACCCCAGGAATTTCTGGCTGATAAATGAGCCCATTTATCATTTATATCAGGGCAGAGCTGCTAGAGGCTTTACCTGAGAGACCACTTTTGGGCTGAAAGCAGAAGAAAGGTAATAGAGGTCCAGCAGTGTCTTGGAGTTTTGGCCAGCTCCTGTGATGCTACCTCCTTAACACTTAATTAACTCTTTGGCTCCTGCTGAGACCCTGGGAAAGTAACTGTAGAGGGACGTGCCCTAGGTAGGGTAAGTCCTCCAGTTAGACCAACCACAAATAAAGCCTAACTCAAGCCCTGCAAAACTACAGAAAAAACAGCTTGGAGCATGATCCCTCTGAGTGTCAGGGGCAGGAGAAGCACCCCAATTTCTATTTATTTACTGTAATAAAGCACAGAGCCAGCCCATGCAGTCAGATTCAGAATGATTGGCCAGTAGTTGAGTTCCCTATTAGAAAAAGAGTCAACCATTTTAGAGAAAGATAAAGGTATCCAGAATCTCCACATTTATCATATGCAACATACAAAATACAGTTTTAGGAAAGTACATTAGATATGCAGAAATACTAGAAAAGTGTGACTCATTTTTTTAAAAAAGAATCAGCAGAAACCGCCTCTTTGTGTGGACATTGATTTGACAGACTGTAAAGCAAAAAAGGTTTTTAAACATGTACTTGCTCTAAACTTATGAGTATATCTCTTGATGTTGTTTGTTTATTTATTTTAATGTATTTAGTGCAAGGTCTACAGAGTCTCACTACACAGATCAGACTTGTAGTGATCCTTCCTGTTTTTCAGCCTTCCAAGCCTTGGGATTACAGACAGGCACCAGGCACCACCATGCCAAGTCTCAATTTTAGCACACCCAAGGGGCGGGGCTGGCATGGCAGGCATGGGATCTAATCCCCGGCCCCTGCATTTGCCTAAGCAGGCGCTTTAATCCCCTGAGCTATCTGACCAGCCCTTCAATGTTATCTTGTACTTCTTTGCCCAGCATGGGAGCTACTAACTAACTATGACTGCTTAATTTGAAATTTAAATCAACTGAAATGAAATAAAAGTAAAAATTTTAAACTAACTTGCACCCTCATACTAAATCCAACCTGTCTGTGGCATATTACACATTTTTTGTGTCACTGTATTCGTTTGCCCTTTTTTTGCAATTAAATTCCTGAATGAAAATCCTATAATTTTTCTTTCTAGTGCTTATCCTTGTTGACTTTAGTAGCCATGATTTACTGGTCTTAAAGAACAACTGAGGAAATATTCACTCCTTTTCTATTATTGGAGACTTTATGTAAGATTGGTGGCTTTGATCTTCTGTTTTTCCTAAATATTTTGTGGAATTCCCTGGTTAAGCTATATAGTTTTTTTTATTAAAAGATTTTTAAATATAGATTCAGTTTCTTCAATAGTTACAAAATTATTCTGATTTCATATTTCTTGTCAGTTTTGGTAATTTTTACATACATAATGTAATTATCTGTAATTTGTCTCAGTTTTTACATTTATTGACAAAAGCTTCTTTGTAGTGTCTGTCACCTTATTTTATTAGGTCTCCAAGATAAGTCATTCCAAGATGCTGTTCATCTATATCTTTTTTCCTGGAATATTTTCACCAGTTTCACAATGCTTCTTTTCTATTTTATTGATTTCTGGTTTTGTCTTTATATTTTTCTATTCTGGTTTTTTCAGGGCGTTGCTTACTCTCTTTTCCGATTTTTGATGAAGATCCTTGATTTTTAGCTATTCTAATATATTTATTTCAAGGCTACACATTTATTATTAAACATAGCTTTTTGCTTGTCCCATAAGTTTTACTTAGTATTTTCATTATTACTCAATTTAAAGTGTTTTCTAGTATCCATAATGATATTTTCTTTGAATCATGATTTGTTTATAGGAAAATTTCTTAATCTGCAAACTGTTGAAGATTCTCTAGTTCTTTCATTTTTTTTATCTAAACTATATAACTGTCATCATAGGATAGACTTTTTGATTTCAGTATTTTTAAATTTTTGGACATAATATATGGTCAGTTATACACTATAATTCTTGGATATGTGTTTTTATATGTCATTTGGATTGATTCTGTTAATTGTGTTGTTCACATTTTTGTTTTTGTCTGATTGTTCTACAAGTCAATAAGAGAGATCTCTTAAAATCCTCCACAATTTATTATGAATTTGTCAGTTTCTCTTGTTTTAAGCCAGTGTTTACTAGGTGTGTTTTAGAATATGTAATTAGGTACACATGAATCTAGAGTTGTCAAATCCACCTGGGAATTAAAACTTTTATCTGGTATGAAATATTTATTTCTAGGTGATGTCTTTTGCTTTGAAACTTCCTTACTACACTAGCTTGAGGTGGGAGGAGGTGGAGGTACTGGGAATGGAACCCAGGGCCATGGTTCTGAGCTAGATCCTTAGCCTTTTTAAAATTTTGAGACAGAATCATACTCAACATGCCTGGCTACACCGGCTTTCTTTTGGTTGGTGTTTGCATGGTTTATCTTTTTACATTTTTTCACTTTCACAAGTTTCTTCAATACATTTTGTAAGTAGCAAATTATTTTTTCTTTAATTAGTCAAATACATTGTGTTTTAATTGGAGTAGTCCAATCATATTTAATTAATTACTGATAAATTTGGGTAATGAAAACCATCTTGCTATTGGCTTTCATTTTGTTTGCTGCAATATATTTTTCTTTTCTTTCCTACTGTCTTCTGGATTGATTAAATATTTTTATTAGTCTGTTTTCCTCTTCTGTTAGCTTGATAGTTATAAACTCTTTTACTATTTATTGGCTACCATAAAATGTACAAAATGTATACTTAATTTATCAATATCACTTAGAAATTAGAACTTTTACCTTGTCTGGGACAGCCCAAAGTCCTTATGAAGCCCTCTAACTTTGCATGGCTTTTTCCATCTTTTGTGTTGTTATCATCACATATTTTAGCTGCAGACAATATTATTTTATTGGGGTTTTTTGGGGGAGGGTTTTTTTTTAAATTTTAGGGAAGGGTCTACAGGGTGTTCAGGGTCTCACTACTAGATCAGACTTGTAGTGATCCACCTGTTTACAGCCTCCCAAGAGCTGAGATTACAGGCACGCACCACCACGCCCAGTCTCAGTTGCCATCTCAGTGTGCCCCAGGGGTGGAGCTGGCACTGCAGGCCTGGGGATTGAAACCCCAGCCCCTGCACCTGCTTGCAGACACTTTAATCCACTGAACTATTTGACCAGCCCTTTATTTTATTGTTTATATAGTCAATATTTAGTTAGAGTCACCCTTGTGTGTATTCATTTTATCTTTATCCTTTCCATGATCATTGTTTCTTCTGTTAAGAAAGCACCTATTAAATGGGGACTTATTTGTTTGTTTGCTTGTGGTATAGCTCTGCTGGTGATACCTGTTGTTTGGGTGTCTGTCTGTTTGTTTGTTTGAGGGGAAGCAACTCATGAAGTGAACCCAGGGATACTTTTGCACTAAGCTACCTCCTCAGCAGCATCACCTTCCTTCTGAGATAGGGTATCACTAAATTGCCCAGATCCTCCTGCCTCTGCCTTCTGAGTGGTTGAGATTATAGGTATGCTCCACCACACCTAGCATTTTTCTTTTGCTTTGATCAAAAAGGGTCTTCATTTCACCTTTAATTTTGAAGATTTTATTGTTAGGCAACAAATTCTTGATTAGCAGTTATTTTGTTTTGGTTCTTTGAAAATATCCTATCTTCATATGTAGTTTCAACTGAGAAGCTAACTCTCAAGTAGAAAGCTGCCTGCTTTCTAAAATTTTCTCTCATAGACTCCAGCAGTTTTTACTATGACATCAACTCAATGGTGGTTTCTATCTGAATTATGTTCTACTTTAGGTTTGTAGATCCCCTTGTATCTGTGGCTTAATATCTCCAGTTTTTGAAAATTCTTTTAGCCAGTGTGTCTTCAAAACTTAAATTCTATTTTCTCTAATTTATCTTTTGGGGACTCTAATTATGTATTTTATACATGTATCTTTGTTCCCTACATCTCTTAGTCTTTTCTAAGCTTTCCATAATTGTGCCTTTCTCTGCTTTGAACTAGATATATTACCTGGTATTTCTTCCAACTCACTGTTTCAGTTTTCAGCTCTACTGTATTATTAAATTCATCTATAAGTTTTAACTCTTGAATTTTTGTCATAAAACTTTGATTTGGTTCTATAGTTTATACATTTCTGTAGAAATGCTTTACTTTTTTGTTTTGATCTATTAAAATAACTTTAAAAGTCTATATTTCATAATGACATAATCTGGATCCCCTTTTGCTTTTGGTGTTCAGTCATCTTTTCATGTTTTCAGCAATGTTTTGACTGAGATATGAGAAGTTACTGAGCTAATTTAAGCTTTAAAATGATGCCATTTTCCTCTAGAAAGAACTTTTGTTCTGACAGGAGTCGAGGGAACACCTTACTGTAGTTTCAGGGGTTGAGATTGTTTAAAATGGGGCTTTAATACTGAAATTAATTGAATGCTGAACAGCACGATACTGCCCAGCTTTCAGCGCACCCCCTCTCCTGCTCCCCACTCCGATTATAACCTTCAAAGTTCCTCAACTCTGGGCTTTTTGCAAGGTCTTCTCACCCAATTGCAGATGCTGAACTCGTAGTGTTTCTTTGCTAGGTAAATGAGGCTGTTGATAATTTCTTAGGCCTTATACACATTTAAATCAGCAGGCACCCCTAAAGGAACATGGTCTCCAAATATGAGGCTTTTCTCTCTGGGTTTCCTTCCCACCCTAGATCGTGGCTCTGTAATTCTCAATTACCTTGTAGGCTATCTTTTGACTTCAGGTAGGCTTCCTGACAGATTTTCTAGTTGTCAACCAGAACACTAATGCAGATTGCCTAGTGTACATCGTTTTAGTCCATGTAGGCTGGTCTCACAGAATACCTCAGGCTGTGTATTGATAACATTAGAAGTTTAAGGGCCAGCAAGATAGCTCATTGGACTAATTGCCTGCTTAGGCAAGCACAGAGACTCGAGTTTAATCCTTGGTACCAGCATACCATACACTGAGCCAGCAACTGAGTCCGGGTATGGTGGTCCATACCTGTAATCGCAGCGCTGGGGAGACTGAAAAACAGGAGGATGACCACAAGTCGGAGCTGTGTAGTGAGATCCAGTACCAAATACATTAATATATTTATTTCTCATAGTTTTGATGCCTCAGAAGTCCAAACTCAAGGCTGCAGCAGAGTTGGTACCTGACACAAGCTCTTTCTCTGTGCGTGGAGATTGCCACTTTATGCTGTAGCCTTTGTGTTAGGGGCACTTGTCCCACTCCTGAGGGCAGAAGCCTCAAGCTTGAATCACCTCTGCTCAACCCCTCCCCAAATAGTGTGAAACTGAGGCAGCAAATGCCTATAATCATAGCACTCAGCACTAAGGCAGGAGGATTACCATGAGTTGGACGCCATCTTGGGCTACATAATAAGTTCAAGGCCAGCATGAGCTAGCTACATAGTGAGACCCTGTCTCCAAAAAAAACAAAACAAACAAACAAAAAAGATAGCCTTCTTTTTGTTTTCTGACCAACTTTTCGGGATGGCAGGTATTCCAAATGTGCTCACTTATGATAAGGAAAAGCACAGTAACTATTGAAATCGTAATGATTTTGCCTGTCTGTGCTTTGTGTTGAAAACTCTCTAAAACCCTTTCGATCATCTTTCTCTGTACAAAGGTGAAGAGATACAGAGACCATATATCATACCAGGTATTAAAGTGAAATTTAAAATTAAATGAAAGCAAGAAAATTAAGCAAAGAAAAAGTATAATTATTGGGTAGAATTGTATTAACTAAAATGAATACTATGAACAAAGGAAACAAAATTACAAGCTGGCCAAAGAGGACCATCATCAGTACAGCCAGATACATGGTTGTCCTTAGCCTGCCATAGGACCCCACTCAGCCAAGGGACAGGTGAACCGTCTGTGGGGCTAAACTGCATGATGAATAAGCTTTGGACACTGGGCAGTGAATGCCCTATAACAAAAGAGTATTCCTGAAGAATAGAGTCTTCTTATCCCAATTGCCAGTGGTATGAAAAATGAGATAACACAGGCTTCAGGATGTTATCTTTCACCAAAGACATTTATATATGTATATTTGCTTCTGGTGACAAACAGATAGAGCAAAAGACTTGCATGTGGTTATTGTATTACTTAGTGTAGGCTACACTGCTGTAAGAAGAGGGCTTTTCTAGTTTTAAATTTCTCATTCTCATGAAAGTGTAGGACAGTATGCATAGTCCAGGACAGTTGGGGTCATGGTTTGGACAAATTTTTTGCCTCTCACTGACTTAGAGATCTGGGCCGCTTCCACACTGTAGTTGTTCTGTCCCCTGGACTTTGTTTTCCATGCATAGGAGCAGCTGGGTGACCACATCCACAGTCCAGGTGCAAGACAGGGAATGCACACAACTGTCTTCTACCATCTTACCTGGAGGTGGCACCCCTCACTTGTGCTCACATCTGTACAGGAAACGTTAGTCACGTGGCGCCCAAGAGGAACAGGGATATATAATCTAATAAGTACTTGGGTAGAAAAAGCATTCTGTGGACAGTTATCAATCCCTGCCACAAGAGTAATGAAAAATAAGACTCAAAAAGTAATAACAGAAAAAAAAAAAAAAGTAATAACAGGTAGAGGTCCGTTTGAGCTATCTCAAGTGCTAGGTCAGATTAGGACTCTGCTCTATAGCCAGTGACTGTTTCTAAGCAAGGAAGTGAAATGGTGAGAATATGTCTTTTGGCCATATGGGGCAGAACCAGTTGTAAAGACCATTTCAAATGCTATTAGAACAATCGGGAAGTAAGAAATAAAGTAATGGCCAGGGAGATAGCTTAGTGGCATAAGCACCTGCCTGGCAAGTGCAAGGTCCCAAGTTCAATCCCTGATACTGAAAAAAAAAAAAAAAAAGAAAGAAAGAAAAGAAGAAAGAAAGTAACAATGGATAAGTGTTGTGGTAGCAGGAGAGGAAAAGAAGAAAAACATGTACCAGTATTGTTAGGAACACACAGCATTTCAACAATAGGAGAACTGGCAGATGCTGAACACCTTATACTTAGTTATTTAACCCTCCGTCTATTTTCTCTATCTTACTAATGAAGACAACTGAAATTCAGATATAAGTTGTGAAAAAGGCGTGTGTCAGTATGAGTTAGAGATAGACAAGTGATGGAGTGTGGCATCTGTAGATTGCTCTGCAAAGTGTGTGGCCATATCAGTACACTTTTAGATACTACTAGATATTTTAGCACCTAAATTAGTTCCTAGGAGTTTCGTTTGTGTTGTTTATATTTAAACTTTATGAAGTCAGTGACTCCTTTTCCCACTGTCCTAGGAGTCCTAGCCCGACGTAGCACATGCCTAGAAATACTTAGTGATATTGATTATGTTGATTTAAATGTTCTAGTAAAAGTGAAGGGCTATTAATTAGTTACCTATGAATCCTTTTACTCTATCCATTTTCTTAAAGAGTATTTCATAGCTCTCTTGCCTTTTAGTTGTTACATATTGATTATTGATAATTTTTTATTTCTTCTAAATAAAAGTCTTCGATTAAATGTTTCTGCTCCTTTGTTAACAGGTAGATGCTGGCTGGATTGGATTTTGGTCCATAGTTGGAGGCTGTGTTGTTGGAATAGCTATGGCAAGGTGAGAATATTTCATATCAAATGTGAGCCCACAGACGAAGGGCATCGGCTGGGAAGATGGCTCAGTGGAATAAGTGCTTCCCTGGCAAGCGTAAGGGCCTGAGTTCAATCCCTGGTTCAAAAGAAGAAGGGCAGAATCCAGGGAGAAATCAGCTCCCTTCAATAAACTTTCAAATTCAGGGCAAAGCCCAGCAGGCTAAGGTAGAAAAGGGTACCACTCAGGCTACGAGAAATGCACGTGCAGAGGATAGAACTGGCTGCTTCAGGGAACTTTCTCAGGAGTGGTTCTTAAAATGCTTTTTAGAGACTGAAAATACATTCCAGTGTCATTAAGCTGCCTTTCTCCATATTATTAAAGAATAGGATCTTCAAATGAAACCCAAAAGAAGGTGATCTAATAAAAGCAAACAGTAATTAACAAGAATTTTTAGGAGTTGAACCCTTTATGACAGCATCTGTAGAAGTTCCCATGAAAAAGCTGAGGCAGGTTTTTATTTATGCTCCTTCTTGGCAAGTCTGTTCCCGTGGTCATCCCATTTTGATGAAAAATGTCCATGAAGGTTTCTAGTTTCATCAGACTCTTCAATCTGAACTCATTATGACAGCACCTTTTTATGTGAATCAGAAAGAAAGGGGTTTCATTTACTCTAAAAAGAATGAAAATGTCACTCTTTTAGGTGACTGCGTATAAAACTACTCTTAGTGTTTTCAGAGAGATAATATTCATTTACTTCCCAAGTT